CCACCGTGAAACAAGGCCTCTATTCTAAACCACAGGAAAGTCCCTCTCAGGGCACAGAGCACACATGGTGAGCCCTGTGACTGGTTTGCCATCGACAGAGAATATTTGTACATGTTTGTTAAGTGAGAAGCTCCTGGGACTCAAGTAATGATCTCTTCACTGGACGTTTGGCCTGGAAAAGCTAAGGTCTTCTAGTGGGACCTAGAGCACCTCTCCTGATGAGCTGCATCCCTGGCCCCAGAAACCCAGTGGCTGGATTCAGTGGAAGACACTTGGAAGAATGAGGCCTGAGGCAGAGGCTGTCTCCTCACCCTCTCTGCCCTTCCCTGAGCTAGCTCCTGGCTCCACCCCAGGTGCTCACTCTCTATCCCCCCCTCCACCCCAGGTGCTCACTCTCTATCTCCCCCCCACCCCAGGTGCTCACTCTCTATCTCCCCCCCCTCCACCCCAGGTGCTCACTCTCTATCCCCCTCCACCCCAGGTGCTCACTCTCTATCCCCCTCCACCCCAGGTGCTCACTCTCTATCTCCCCCACTCCACCCCAGGTGCTCACTCTCTATCTCCCCCTCCACCCCAGGTGCTCACTCTCTATCCCCTCCACCCCAGGTGCTCACTCTCTATCCCCCCCACCCCAGGTGCTCACTCTCTATCCCCCCACCCCAGGTGCTCACTCTCTATCCCCCCCCCTCCACCCCAGGTGCTCACTCTCTATCTCCCCCCCTCCACCCCAGGTGCTCACTCTCTATCTCCCCCCCCTCCACCCCAGGTGCTCACTCTCTATCTCCGCCCCCCACCCCAGGTGCTCACTCTCTATCTCCCCCACCTCAGGTGCTCACTCTCTATCCCCCCTCCACCCCAGGTGCTCACTCTCTATCTCCCCCCTCCACCCCAGGTGCTCACTCTCTATCTCCCCCCACCCCAGGTGCTCACTCTCTATCCCCCCTCCACCCCAGGTGCTCACTCTCTATCCCCCCCTCCACCCCAGGTGCTCACTCTCTATCTCCCCCCACCTCAGGTGCTCACTCTCTATCTCCCCCCACCCCAGGTGCTCACTCTCTATCCCCCCTCCACCCCAGGTGCTCACTCTCTATCTCCCCCCCTTCACCCCAGGTGCTCACTCTCTATCCCCACCCCCACCCCAGGTGCTCACTCTCTATCTCCCCCACCTCCACCCCAGGTGCTTACTCTCTATCCCCCCCCACCCCAGGTGCTCACACTCTTGCTTTCTCATCCATAAAATTGGAATGTGTTCCAGATTGAATTATTGCTCTCCAACAAAAGTTAGACTTGGGATGTGGCAATACGATCTTCTTTGGAAATGGGGTCTTTGCGGATATAATTAGCTAAGACCAGAGACCGCTACCTCAAATGTGTGTCCTCTTCCATAAGGAAGAGTCAGACATAGGCACACCAGAGCGAAGGAAAAAATAGCATGGGCTGCCAGGCAAGGGACATTTGGGCTGCCAGAAGCTGCTGGAGTCCAGGAGGCCCTCCTTCAGAGTCCCAAGAGCAGACCCATCCAGGCCTTTATTTAAGATTCCAGAAATGTGGGAAATGCATTCCTGTCTGTGAGCTGCCTGGACTATGGAACTTCCTTACCTATGGCCTTAAATAGCAAACACAGAATGGCAAATGACTCATGTGGGACTTGGGGGCTTTACAGAGACCTCTTGATGTTATATATGGCTACTTCCAACTGAGTGGCCTCTGTTGGCTCCAATGAAAGGGACAGAGACAAGGAAGTGTGGATATAACTTCCTGGGTCAACCTATTGTCTGACCTTAGAATACGCCATATCATCAAGGTCTGGAACATTCTGAGCACCCCCTGGCAGTCAGTCAGTCCTTGTCCTGTGTAGTCTACAACCAGATACAACAGAGTCACTCAGAGCCTCAAACAGCCTTCAGCTCCTGAGGCCGCAGAGTTGCAGGGGCCGCATAGATGCAGCTGGGACCTTCGGCAAGTCTCCCCACCCCACCGCCCAGATGCAGCTCCGGCCAGCCCAGTTCCCCTGACCACTGATGTCCGCACCCGGGAGCTCACTGCAGAAGCTGCACCTTCAAGGGAGCAGAAAACACTCTCTTCACCCACATTTACGACTACAACTTCCCAAACAAACGTGATTCCTATAACCATAAAACAAAGCCCAAATGAGCTGGCCCTGGACCAGGAGGGAAGGAGGGGGGTGCCCGGGTGCCAGAGGGGCTCTCGGTTGCCAGGCTGGCTGCGCATATTTCGGCACCTCAGCCTTGCAGATGCTTAATATTCCAATGAGCACCCGAGCAAGGCATTAGGAGCGAAGGAGTGCGTGGATGCCCTCAGAGCTGGGGGAATATTACTCACCAGGTCACGGTCGGCTGTGTAAAATACAACCCTCATATATCATTATAACTGCCAGCCAGCGACAGTTATAATTGAGACGGCAATAACTAGGAGAGAGTTCTTTAATTTAACATCCAATTATTACAAGTTATCACTTCTTAATAAATGTAATATAACAGACAATCAATGTTGCATGCGACGGCCCAGACTGCAATGGGACGGGAAATTTATATCCTGGGGAGAAAAAAACCACGTACTCTGTGTAGTGTGCGTGCGGGCGTGCGTGCATGTGTGTGTGCGTGTGTCTGTGTGAGCGTTTCGGCTTTCTAGTCTGTAGAGCTTGTGGAGAGTGCATGTGCCAGCGATGCTCTGACTATAAATAGCTGAGTTTGCCTAGGCAGATCCGCATTTGCATATGTACAATAGCCCCAGGCCCAGGGAGAGGGAAGAATGAAAGGAGGAGAGAGATTTCTTCTCAGGGCTGCAGGCTCCTCTGAGAAGCAGCAAGGGGAGGCAGGGCCCAGTGGGCACAGGGCCCAGGATGGCAGCTGGGACAATTACTCTGAGCCTTAACCAGGCCGAGCAAGTTTTTTTTTTAATGGATTTAAGTGTTGGGGTTCTTTTTTGTTTTGTTTCTTTTTGTTGGACACAGAGGAACAGAGCTCATTATGAGAGCATAGCCTGGCTCCTCTTGGTAAAGTGGGAGCACCCATCAACCCAGCACCCCAATAAATGAATGCAAGCAATCAGCACTCCAGGAAGGATCATCCCCCCTCTCCCCATGTCCAACCCCTTCTACCAACTAGATAAACATGTGCGTGGCTCCACCGGCTTCCACAGGTTTGTCTTTAAATCTGCTGGCAAAGCACTGGCTCTTTCCATCAGTGCCTCTTGAGGTGTTATAGAGACGTGTTCATTTTTATTTCTACATGACTGATTTCTCCGAAAACCTCCGTCCCCGACATCTCCATTTTCCAGTGAGCCGACCCGGGGTTGTTTTATTCTGGCGAGTCTACACGGGATGCTGCTGCATGTGTTTGGAGACCATGGGGACTTCCCTGTAGGGTGGGCACCTAGGAATGAAGCCCTGGGGCTCACTTGGGGTCCCAACATTTTGCTTCAGTTCTAACGAATAGTTACTTTTGCCGTTTTCCCTTCCTACTCGCTAAGTGTTCCAGTTGCTCTGCTTTCTTTGTCAGCACTTGAAGCTGTCAATTTTCTCAGCTTTAGCCGTGCCAGAGTGCACACAATGGGAGCTCGCTTCACTCCAGTCAGCATCTCCCTGAAGGGCTAGGGCACTGCCCGTTTTCGTTGACAATTTCCTGGTAAAGTGTCTGTCCAAAGTTTTAAATGTTTTCTATTGGGTCCTCTGTCCATCCCACAGCCTATCCACTCCTGCCTTCCCTTATCTTTCTGTTAGGGGGAGATGTTTGTAAATTTTGGTGGAATCTGATTTGCAGGTCACTTCTTGTTCTGCGCAATGCACTATGGTGATCATTTCAAAGGTGCTCGAGGCGATCTCTGGAGATTCAGAAGAGCAAGGGGAATGCATGTTTGGTTCTCTCTAAACTACTCCTGTGGGCCCCAGTAGACAGAGATATACCTGTCTCAGCCTCAGTCTCTGCAGACCCACTGGCAGAGGATCACCCACGGGTGGCAGAGCTGAATGCGGGGAATGCTGCTCCCAACCTCAAGAAATATAAATCTCCCCGAAGAAAACACAGACGATTCTCAGAGACCCTCAGTTCATTTTAGACTTCTTTAAGATAGGAAAAGGTCAACTAGATGCAACTAATGCATGAACTAGATAAACAAGAAAACTAGTGTGCTGGGCTTTGGTGAGAAGTAATTTTGCTTTTCAAAAGACGATTAAGGAAGGCTGGCAGGCAGGAAGAGCATTTGAGCTGGGTCCCTGGTTCAGGCCACTTTTGCACACATCCCTTTGTTCAGGACAGTGGAGACTGGAGGCAACATAACCGGGATTAACCAGGAAGGAAACTTTGGCAGAGAAGAAAGGAAGCAGCCGGGCATTGGTGGTGTGTACCTTTAATCCCAGCACTCAGGAAGCAGAGGCAGGCGGATCTCTTTGAGTTCTAAGACAGCCTGGTCTACAGAGGGAGTTCCAGGACAGGCTCCAAAGCAATACAGAGAAACCCTGTCTCGAAAAAAAAAAAAAAAAGAGAGAGAGAAGAATGGAAGCACTTCCCCACAAGGGCTTCATCGAAGGAACAGAGTGTGTTCAAGAAAGCTCTTGCTACAAGTTGGAGAGGGGCTCCTGCTGTGTGAATGTCCTGTCAAGGGCAGCTCCCACTCCCCATGCCCCCATGTTCCCTGGCTCCTTCCTCAGATCACTGGCTGGCTCTGCATCACTGGAGCGCTCTCCCTCCTTTCTCAGGAAGGCCTCTGTTTGTGTGCATTCCTTTGTCCTGGGTGGAGCCTGCGCTTCAGCATGCTCTAAGCTCAGACCCTCTGAGCTTTCCTTTTCCTTTCCTTGATTTGTGTTTGGACTTGGGGCTCAGCCTGCTCTCTCTCTCTCTCTCTCTCTCTCTCTCTCTCTCTCTCTCTCTCTCTCTCTCTCTCTCTCTCTCTCTCTCTCTCTCTGTCTCTCTCTCTGTCTCTCTCTCTGTCTGTCTGTCTCTCTCTCTGTCTCTCTCTCTCTCTGTCTGTCTGTCTGTCTGTCTGTCTGTCTGTCTCTCTCTCTCTCTCTCTCTCTCTCTCTCTCTCTCTCTCTGTCTCTCTCTCTCTGGGTCCTCTTGCTGCTTCTCTGACATGATTGTCTCCACTCCCCTTCCCAGAAACTGCCTGGGTCTACCGCTGGCCCACCCTTGTTTAGACCTTTAATAAAACTGTCCCTGAGCTTCCTTCTGGGTCCGTTTTAAAATTCTTTTATTAATGAGTCTTCCAGCCCCCCCAAAGGAGCCTCAGGGTCCTTGATAAGACCTTGTTGCTTCAGCTACTCAGAGGATTTCTTCCTCTGAGATTTATTTGTATTATTTTTAATTATGTGAGTGTGTGCACACGAGTGCATTACCCTCAGAGGCTCTTAGAACTGGAGCCACTGATCTGGTGCTGGGGACCAAACCCAGGTCATCTACAAGAGCAGCAAGTGTTCTTAAGCCCTGAGTCATCTCTCCCGCCCAGGGAGACTCTTGAGTTTGTCCTGTAAACTACATAAACATGCCTGAGGGGGCATTGTGCTCCTTGTGGACACCGTGAGACCAGGCTGCTGTGTGAACTAATGTGGAGAAGGAGATTATATAAGCTCACAGAAAACACCAGGAAGGTTTCCTGAAGGAGGTGAGTTCAAACCGAAAAGTTTCTATACTCGCATAAGCCTCTCTCCGCCGAAATAATATCCAAATCAGACCAAAATGAAACCAAATGTTTAAAAAGCCCACGTTTAATGGATGCAGCACTCCCGAATGACCTTCCAGACCCCCAGAGAGGAGACCAGAAAGGGAGACTGGAAAAACCACGGGTCTGTTCTCTGGGGGACAGTTTAAATACCCTGTGGGAGTGGTCCTGAGTATCTCTGGGGGAGGGGCCATCATTTGGTGGGCTTTCTGAGATGCAGCGGGTTTGGAGGGAGGTGGGGAGGGGGCTTGGGTGGGATTTCTACCGTAACATCCCAGACTCTTTGGGTATACGGATGCCAGGGGCTGGGGTGAACCCTCCTTAACACAAACTTCTTCAGAGGACCAATAACAGAGGGAAGCTAAGGCTTGGGGGACAAGCACAAGGCAGTGGGTTCCGAGTCTGACATCCTTCTCCAGGACATCCTGCAGATATGGTGAACTTCTAGGAACAAAAGTTTGATTTCCATGGTTACAGTGCCCTTCAGAGTCAACCTTGAAGTCAACTGTCTTTGAATCAGAGAAACAGAAGACCAACCGGGAAGGCTCTTGGTTCAGGTTACACAGCTGCCTCCCAGCGAAGTGTCCCGATGCCCACACAAGTGTTTTCTGGTGTAGAAGACGCAGTGGACAACACAGCAGAGTCCCCAGGTGAGGAAAGAGGTGGGAAGAATATGAGGGAATTTAAGGCAAGAACCATGCAGAGGAGGCACACACTGCCATGCAGGTTGAGTGCTGCCCAAGACCCCTGGCTGAGGCCACAGGCAACAGCTGGCAGCCACAGTCCATTCAGATAGCGCGGTGTCCCGGCAAGGACCATTTCCACCCAAAGGGAGAGTCAGCTCTAACTGTCAGCAAGACAACATGGGCTGGCAGGGTCTTTGAGAGGATTAGGATTTGGGGCACCGACTACATGAGGGGAGCTGTAGGAATGCTGCTCCATTCACCCCATAATCCCTGTGACTAACCCTGTGATGGGATCAGCATTGACTTCTACAAGGCAGCCAGCAGCCGGCACACAGGGCCTCCTGCTCAGAGCCCGGGGACGGGGTGTTAGGCTTGCTGGAACAGGGCTCGCTTGAGTCTCCTGACATTTCATCTTGCACCTTGCCATCAGCATTGGAGAAGGAAAGTAAAGCCTGGGGGAATAGCCTCACTCCTGCCCATGTGAGATCTGGGGGTACGCATGGCTACAAGGCTGGACTGCAGACAACTGGAAGAGACAGTGGCATGGTGTCCTCCCAGCTCTGTCCTCTCTGCCCAGCTGGAAGAGGCAGTGGCATGGTGTCTCCCCAGCTCTGTCCTCTCTGCTCAGCTGGGCTCTCCCGGTAGGTAGGGTACCCACCCTCAGTAACAGAAGGCCCCGCGTGGCTCCCACCCCCTACACACACACATCCAGGGTGTCAGTTCCCACAGCTTGAACACCCCTCCTTTCGAGGGAGGCAAGATGTGAGGGCCTGGGCTCAGCAGCCGGACTGACAGACTGAGGGGCTTCCTGCCAAGAGAGGTGCTATCTTGCCGCTCGGCGTCCTGGATTGAGATCTCCAAACATCAGATATTCCTAACATTTTGCGGGATTTTTTTCTTTACCTCAATGCAAGTGGGGCTCCAGCATGGGCTATGTGGTCTGGCTGGGATGCAGCCAGCTGTCATGTGGAATGGGACTGGTTATATATGTAGGGGTTGGGGGAAAGGGAAGAGGGACGGTAAAGGCTGAGGAGCCTGGATGAATAGATCATAGACAGGTGGAGGGACAGACGAACAGACATACGAATAGACAGGTGGATGGATGGACAGATGGAGGACAGATGAACAGATATGTGAATGAATGGGTAGATGAATGGACAGACAAAAGGTTGGTGGTCTCTCCAACTGAGACCAGGGCATACCCATCATCTCTTTCTCCTCCAGCCCCTTGTCCCACACTGGTTTAATAACCAACTTTGAATCCTGGATGGTGAAGAACCTGTCCCTGCCAGTCTTGGGGTCCTGAGCCTTACCAAGTTCTACACGGTGGGGTGGCACAGAGAAGGGGGGGAGGCAGCCACAAACACTGGAGTCAATGGGGAATAAGAAAAAAGGAAGGGAGAGGATGATAGAGGGGAAGGGAAGAAAGGTGAAGCAGGGCTGCCGACCTCTCTATAAACAGCAGGGAGCACACCTGCAGCAGCCATAGCTATAGAGCACCATCACCAGCATGGGCTTCTTCAAGCATGGATGGATGGACGGACGGATGGACAGACGGATGGAGGAATGGGTGAAGGGAGGGATAGATAGAAAGAGGGAGGGAGGGATAGGTGGAGGGAGGGAGGGAGGGATAGGTGGAGGGAGGGAGGGAGGGAGGGAGGGAGGCAGGTGGGTGGATGGGAGGATTGATCAATCTATCAATGGGTAGACAACTAGACAACTTGCTTCACCTCTTGAAGAGAAGTGTAGCCTTGCCCACATCCAGTGTTTGATGACATGTAGACTGACTAATGCCGGATCTGAGGTCCTGCTTCTCTGTCACCCTGATGGCAGAGCTTAAGCAGCAAGTGTCTCCACCTCCTCCCATTCAACTCTAGCCCAGGACACATTCAAGGTTGCAGGGGACCTTGGGGTCACAGAGGACCTAGAGGGAATGAGGAAGGCTAGGGTGTCCCTTACTGATGATCCCAAGACTTTGACATGGCCACTCATGTGAGGAAATACCAAAACAAACAAAATCTGTGCATGAACTCTGCCCAGAGCTCTACCTGCCTATCTGTCCCCTTTTGAGCAGAAATGGAAGGACCAGGTATCACCAGAGTATCCTGCGTATCTTTCTGGGACCAGAGACTACGGTAAATCTTCTACATCCTCTGCCCACCCCCAAATCACCCAGATTTCAATTACCCAGAGAAAAAAAAGCCACTCTTCTCAGCCGACTTTGGTCAAAGAGAAATTGGGATTCTGGTTGGGTGACAATGTCAAGATCCACACCATTGTCATGTCAACAGCTTTCCAAAGTAACTTCATCCTAAAGTTGCCCCTTCTGGCCCCGGCGACCTTGGGTGTCTCTCACAGCAAAGTGGAGTAGGAGGTCCAATGCAGGCAGACCTGTTTCTTCCCCTGAAGGGCCCAGATGTTCATCTGGCATGTTCATGGAGCATCTGCTCTGGGTCACGGAGGCCAACAAAACACCAGTGAACACTTTCCTGGAACTGTCACCCAACCCTATCACCACAAGGGCCCCACCCACAAAGTCCTTATGTCATGTCAAGGTTTGGCATGTTCCGAAATGCACTCCTAAGAGACAACCACTATCCACATCTTAGAAATGAGGAAACTGACTCAGGAGACCAAGTAATCTGCTTAAGGACACACAGCAAAGATGGGCACATGGCCACCTTTCCCACTGTAACCTGCTCTATCCCAGGGGTGGGGGGATGGGGGGGTGTGGGGTGATGGCGGGCATCCAGGGGAAGAGGGAAAAGGAAACAATAGAAAGGTAATATGATTTCAGGCTCTAGAAAATTCTGAAATAAAAACACAACGGGGTGAGGGGAGTGGGGGAGGGGGCAGGAGGTGTCCTGGGATACCTTCCGTGAAGAGTAGCCACCTGAGCTGAGACTTCAATGTATGAACTCGTTGTGAGGATCCAAGGACAGCACCCCAGGAAGTGAGCTGTAGCTGTAGAGGCCCCAGGACAGGGTGGAAGACCCTGACATGAACACTCACTCCATCCCAGGAGGAGGGGGTTCACTGCTGTTCAGCCAGGAACCAGCTGTCCAGGCCAGCTGCCTTTATGGTTACATGGCTGAACAAAGGCCGAGTCTTGACAACCCAAGTACAGATTCGAAGACGGAAGCTCAGAGAGGGTGGTTAACCTGCCTAGGGCCACAAGGTAAATTATCAGGATCACATGGGCAGCAAGTTAACAGGGCCTGAGTTAGAACTGTGACCCCTAATATCCAAGACACCTCAGTTGATGGCTAGATCTTTCGTGAGGTGGCAAGTGTACAAATGGCTTTCCTGGGTTCTCTTCCTTCCCCACTTGACCCCAGAGGATGGAGACAGGCCCCTCTGAGGGGGATCTGTGGTGAAGGAAGCCTGTAGCTCCTGATTTAAATCAGCTCTGTACCTACAACAGGGGAACCGTCATCCTTAGAGGCAGCTGAGCAGAAACCCAGAGGTCACTGTGTATCTACAACTCCAGTGTTCAGAGGGGACTGGATGTCCCTGATGGCCTGTGTTGTGTCACCCACATCCATTCATGTGTGGAACCACATATTAACTGGACATCTAGAATACACCCAGCACCAAGAGACACACTAGAGCCCTTTGGGGGACGTACACCAGCCCAGTCCTCATACAGTGAAGAGTGAAGGTGATGTCAGCGGTGTGAGCATTCCACTCTTACAGGGTAGGGCCATGGCTCAGAGATGCTCAGCTCAAATGCGCCCTTACATTTGCCCCTCCAGAAATGAGTCTGATAGATTTATAGGGGAGGAAACTTAGGCATAGCACACATGTGGGTCTGTCCTCATGATGTCACAGAAAAGCCAGGAGTTGCCATCTACCTGTCACAGGGTCCCTAAGGATGTGTCTCTAACCCCAGGAGGAACAGAGAGTCTCTGGAAGATGCCCCCCCTCTTGGAAGCCTGTATGCAGCTTTGCCAGTGGGGACAACCCCTGACACCCCCATCTTCATTCACAAGCAGCAGGAAGTCCTCCCAGGAGCTGAGCCATAGCTTTCCTGACTTAATGTATTCTCAAGTAAATTAAAGTCATACTTCATTTTAAATTAAGGGGATTTTAAAAAAATAAAATATCTACAACGTTTAAATATCATTAGTAATTACATTTTATTTTATTTCAAGCCAGTTGGAAACATTTTATTTCTAATTAGGTACATTTTTTTTAATATCCAGTTTACTGAACGGAGAGACTTCCAACGGGAGGACAGAGAAAGGGCCTCACCACCTATCCAGGTCTGCATAGATCAGAAAATCCCCCAGGCCACTGTGGACATCACTCCTTCTGGACTGGAAGCCCTGGGATGATTCCCCTCTCCTTTGGTATGTATGATGCCTCAAAGGAAGAAGTAAATCACCCAACCAGTGGCCAAGGCTGCAGGGTTTGTTCACCAACACAAGAAGCATTCCTCTGCCTGTGATAAGTCCTTGGCTCATGCTGACCCAGTCTTGCTGCAAGCCGACTCTTCACATGTGGATCTCCCCCTTCCCACAGGGCCCTGTCTTGGGTACTTGCTCAGTTCTATATCCAATGATCTCTGGAAATGTCACATTTTCCTGGTGCATTTTGGTATGCCTCTTGACCTCACTTAGCAAGGATCCCAGAGAGGAGTATGACCCCAGAAGGTGCATCAGCGAGGCAGTGCCTCGGATGGCCAGACCTCACTGACACCTGGAAAGAAGGCAGCCATGAGTATTCTGGACCTGGGGACCCTGCACTGCTGGGCAATGTCCCTGAACGGGGCTGTTAAGGGAGCAACAGCTGACAGAAAGCTTGTGTGGGCTCCCTGCAGGTGCGTATGATACCCATGATCTGCCTTTGCTGAATCTACAAATGGGAGTTCCCAGGCCATGAGGGGGAGAGTCAGCTAGCCAGAAGGACAGACAGATGAGCAAATGGGTGTGTGGACACAGGAGCCCGCATAGCACAGCATAAGACCTGCTGTATCGCAGACATTACGTTACTGCACACACACACGCAGGCACACACACCACGTTGGCCACAGTCTGGACAGTGCACATCCAACACCCCAGGATGTCTTTGCCAAGCATCTAAAATACCAAGGATGCTGTATCAGCAAGCAAACCAGAGATCATCACCAACAAGTCACCACAGACCCTGAGGCTGTGGAACAGGAGGCCAGCCACATCCTTGCTAAGTTCTCTCAACCCTGAGATCCTCCTCAAGCTGCCTCAACTTCGAGGGCTCACCCAAAAGGGCTTGTTTCCAAACACATTAGCTAGCAGAGTCCCACACTCCCTGTTCCTGGGTGTGGAGCGATGGGGACCTGTGTTCCTCACTGGCCACTAGCTAGGTAGGGCTCCCGTCAGTCTTGCCATGTGAGTCTCTCATATGACAGACTGAAAAATGAGCAGTGCCATCAAAGCCACTGTGCTGGTTGGCTTTTGTCAACATGACACAGGTCTGGACTTGCTTGGAAAGTGAAAAATCTCAATTGAGAGACTGTCTCTGTCAGATGGGCCTACAGACAAGTCTGTGAGGTGTTTTCTTAATCAGCAGTCAATGTGGAAGAGCCCAGCTCCCTGTGGATGGTGCCACCCCCGGGGAGGTGGTTCTGGGTTGTATAACAAAGTAAACTGAACAAGCTACAGGGAGCAAGCCAGTAAGCGGCACCCCTCCATGGCCTCTGCATCAGCTCCTGCCTCCAGGTTCCTGCCCTGACTTCCTTCAGTGAGTGCCTGTAATGAGGAAGTGTACGCTGAATTAACCCTTCCTTCCCCAATTTGGTTTGCTCATGGTGTTTTATCACAGCCATAGAAACTCCAAGACAGCTGGTGTCAGGCATGGTGTCCAGAGAGGCTCCCAGTGTGCAGGCAGATGTGCTAAGACTCTGTACCAATACTGCACCATGCACACAGGACAGGCTTCGGTGTCGGTGAGTCACTCTGTCCAGAGAGTGGTGGAATCTGTCCATGTCTACATTCATGGACCAGGCAATTTGCCGAGAAAGAAGCTTTTTCTGAGATCTATCTTTTTCCCATTTCAAAGCAAATCTTTGGTCATATTGTGGGGAAACTAAACATGTTAAAAACAGGGAAAAAATATCCAAATTGCCCAGAAACAAACAGGCTTTTGTTGAAGAGTGTGTGTGTGTGTATGTGTGTGTGTGTCTATGTGTGTGTACTGTTATTCAGGATTTTTGAATATTCTTTAGAACAGCAATTATCAAATTCAGTAAACTCCAAGATTTGTGGAGTTTTCTTTCTGATTCTAAAAAATTAAACTTGTTTTGTACAGTTAATTGATTAGTTAATATGCACTAATTGATTAGTTAATATGCACTAATAAAAAGAAAAACAATAAGCACAGGGGTTGAACATTCATGGAGAGCAAATGGGACCGAGCAGTCTGAAACTAAGTCACAAGGAGACAGTCCTGAGATTCTCAGGCTTTCACTGCTCTGCACTTTCGCAAGTATGTGACAGAAACTGCCCGTCACTCTGTGTCATCTTCCAACACGTAGAGTCAGCACTGGCTCGTTGAAGAGATGCAGGCAGGAGATAACAGGCTGAGCTCTTCAGTGCCAGCTAATAGTTACGATACAGCAGTTGGCTGTCTTTCTCAACTAAAAACAAAACAAAACAAACAAAAAAACAGCAACAAAAGAGCAGTGGGCACAGAGGATACGGCTGTAATTCCAGCACTCAGGAAGCTGAGACAAGAGGCTCAGGAGTTCTGCACTAGCCTGGGTCACACAGAGACAGACCCTGCCTCAGAAAGAGGTGGGGGTGAGTGAGCCACGTGTGCCAGGGTTTCTGTTGCTGTGAAGAGACACTATGACCACGCAACTCTAATAAAGGAGAACATTTAACTGGGGTGGCTCACAGTTCAGAGGCTCAGCCCATTGAGACGCTGAGACATGACTACGTGCAACATGCCTGAAATGAATATTTGAAGAAATCAAGTGGATTGGCTTGTTTTTAATCTTAAGTAAATCACAGCCCTGTTGACATGGATACTGCAACTGCTGAGCTGCAGGACAGCTGAGAGAACTGGGGATAAGGCCACCTTGAAATTTTAATTTTAATTTACCTTGAAATCGAGCTAGGGGACAGATGAGATGGCTCAGAAAGTAAAGAGACTTGCCTCCAAGTCTTAAAAAATTGAGTTATGTCCCTGGGACCCAAGTGGTAGAAGGAGAGAGCTGATTCCCACAAGCCGTCCTCTGGCCCCCAGGTGTGCACCGTGGCCACATGCTCCCACATACATACACATGGCTGTACACGGCTTTCTCCATCAGTACCTCTTCTCCCATGCAGAATAAATGCTAAGACATGGTTCACCATGCTCATATGGAATCTACTGTGGTGACATATTGTTTATGATCTAGTAAAGCTTGCCTGAAGATCAGAGAAGCAAAGTGGCCAAACCACCAGAGAGCCGTCACCTCTACCGATGCTCAGGCCGAAGGGGCAGTCCACTGACCCTCAGACTGCATCTCCAGATCTCACTGCTCTCCACCAAATCTCAGCCTGCTCCCGAGACTGCACTGAGATCCTTATATTCTCTCTAGTGCTGGGATTAAAGGCCTTTTAGACTGATTCACTCTCATGTAGTCCCGGGTGGCCTTGGACTCACAGAGATCCATCTGCCTCTGCCTCCTGAGTCCTGGGATTAAAGGTGCAGCCGCCACTGCCAGCTTTGCATCCTGATCCCCAGGCAAGCTTTATTAGATCATAAACAATATGTCAGAGCAGTCTTCTAGCAACCATGCTTCAGTTCAAGAACCTTCTTATCATACTTGTCATTGTTATCATACCTGGAGTGTTTGCCTAGAGTCTCCTGTGTTGCAGGCTTGGTGCATTATTGGGGACTAGTAGAATTTCTTGTGAATAGAGTCTAGTCACTACACCCTCAAAAGAATCCTGGGACCCCTACTTTTTCTGTTTGTTATCATCCAGGAGGCAAACAGTTCTCCCTGCCCCATACTTGTTGTAGTGTGCCATTTCAGGTCCAAAACGATGGGACAAAACAGTTGTGAACCACAACCCAAAGAAAAACTGAGTCAAATTTACCCTTGTAAATTTGTTGTTATTTCAGGTGTTTCTCACAGGAACAGGAAACTGGCAAACAGCCCTTCATACCTTATTTTTGAGCTGTTTGGCTGCAGTACACCCAAAGAAATTTTTCAAAGGAGGCTCTACAGGCCCTTCGATGTACAGAATTATTGCTTTTAACACTTTCATATGCCAGACATAGTTTGGCTGGGTATAAAAGCCTTAGTCATCACTTTACTTCTTTTTCCACTGCTTCCTTTTACTGTTATAGAAGAGAACCCCAAGTCTGCTGAAGGTGAAACAATTTTCATGTTGAGTGATCTTTCTGTCCAGATCCTGATGTTTTAATTTACCCTCTAGTCGTATAGTCACAGTCATCTTTTTGTTATTTTGTCTTTGAGTTGGTGTGTTTTCCCAGATGCATCATTAAGACTTGTTTGAACTCTGGCTTTCTTTCTGTGGTATCTTTGATTAATGTTGAAACCACAGTGCCTGGCCCTCATGTCATTGTTATAATTAATTGAGATTTCCCCCATAAAACAATTAGAGTCATTACTGGCTTTCACTAGGTGATCAATAGTTTCAGTTCCCCTTCCTTCCTCCTTCATGATCATTTTCTGGAATAGTTGGGCTCCCTGTTTGGGAAGAAGTACATTCGCGTGTTCATAAATCAGTAATGATTGGCATTTGCCTCCAGTCTCTAGGACTGGTCCCTAATAGGACACCTTCAAATTCTTGAAATACACAAGACTCCACAACCTTTCCTAAAGTAGGCTCAGTACAGAGATGTACACTCTGACCACTCAGTGAGTGAATAACACAGAAATTCAGTGACTGGTCAGCTCTATAGGGGCTTGGGTTAGCTGAACAAGCACACTGAATCAGAAAGAACCTAAGCTGCTATTGGAAACCCACCTACAAACTGCTTGTGTGTTAATTGTAAATCCGGCATTCCAGAAACAACCATTGATAAGCTGTTTTCATGCAGATTGTAAATAGCTGCAGAGGGTTCATTCACAAAGCGATGCATGTGCTGATACCAAAGGCATTCTGGAGCTTACATTTTACAGATAAAATATGTGCTGCTTGTCCACTGAATACCTCAGGAAGTTCTATGCACTCATGGCTTTCTGTGGAAACTACACAATAACTGGCTTGGAAACGTACTTGCAAATACCATGTGCTAATTACACAGCAAGCCCTTGGCAAACACGGGCATGGAAGTGGCTGGTGTGCTAATCACATCCCTACACCCCAGGACCCTCCCAGTGTAAATGACTCCATGACCTCATTCCAGTCATTTCAGTAATGATCATGCACAGTGGTTACCACAATCCCCGACTTCGACTGTTTAATAGCAAACCTCTCTTCTGCTAGCCACATTTCCAAACACCTCCATGCAATTGCTACAAGCTCCTGTCAGTTGTTCTTGTCTGCTTCCTTTAGCAAGTCAACTGTTATTGATGGGCTGACAGATTCCTTCCTTCCAGCTGGTACTGACAGTGGACAGACATCTCGCACCTCCTTGCAGTAGATTTCCCTCCCTTGCCCTGCCCTTTGACCACATTCTGTTTGGGAATCAGAAGGCCCAGCTCTGGGAGAACGCTTGGAAAGGTTCACCTCGAGCAATAATGTTCTATTCTTTTCTACTCTCCTGCTTAGAGTCATTAAATTACAGCCACACACGGAGCACCTTATGTACCATGTATGTACCACGTGTTTCAGATGGAGCATCCAGACCTTGGTGGGATTATGTGTGGGTTCTGTTGCTCTGCCTTGATCACTGCTCTCTCCTCTCTAGCTTGACCCAGAGCACCCGATTCCGTACTTGGGGCTGAAGATGGAGCTCTGTGGTCAGGGGCTTGCACAGCATGCCGAGACCCTGGATTGGATCCCCAGGATCACAGAAGTAAATTGATACCTCATCCTCATCCTGTTGGATTTGTAGATCTCAAAAATGGGAGTAGAGGATGAGGATTCAAACTTCCCATTTCACAGATGGAAAAACCGAGGCTCAGAGTGCCACAACTGTCTTGCCCTTGTCAGTTTCAAGGCTCCCAGCAGTCTCAAGTACCAACCTTGGCCATGGGCTCCACTCTCCCCAGCTGTCTCTCCTATCATCTCTCTCCCCCAGCTTCCTCAGGCCCCCCAGCCTTACCTGCCACACCCAGACACTGCTGTTTTCAAGATAGATTGGGGACCCCAGAATGACTCTCACCTCCTTAAGAGTGAAAATGGATATCCCAGAGATTGCAGCTTAATTGACTGATTAATAACAGAAAACCTAATTGAATGCTCCCAGCTTGCGTGTAGGATGGCTTAATGTCAGAGCCTGGGGAGTAAACACGCAGCAGGGAGGTCTGAACTGCAGAGCAAGCGGAGCACTTTCAATTTAAGAGTCAATCTCATTATACACAAGGCTGTTCCCTCAATCCTCTGGAAGCCAGTTTCCCTGGTCCAGAGACAGCATCCTCAGCTCCACCCTGCTGCTGGTGCAATTTCTCTCTCTCTCTCTCTCTCTCTCTCTCTCTCTCTCTCTCTCTCTCTCTCTCTCTCTCTCTCTCTCTCTCTGTGTGTGTGTGTGTGTGTGTTTGTGTGTGTGTTGATCTCTGTCTCTTTGTCTCTCACTCTCTCTGTCTCTGTCTGTCTCTCTGTCTCTGTCTCTCTGTCTCTCTGTATGTCTCTCTTGGTCTCTCTCAATCCTACTCTCTCCTCCCTTACTGAATACCTGAGCTGCTCAGGAAGTATTTATGCTCTGCTACCGTGAGGCCTGCATGTTCCAACCCTAGCTCCAGAACCCCTCAAGGTCAACATACCCAGGCTTAGCCTAGGACCTTGAACCTTGTGCAGCCCTTGGTCCCTTTTGTCCTCTCCATCCAGCAGAATGCCACCCACACCAGATTTGTGACAGATTTTATTCATCTCACTCCCTCCTGCCCTGCCCCAGACTTCTTCAGTTGCCACCCAATGACATGGCTCCCCAGATCCAGGTTCCCAGTGTCCCCGTCCCAACCCTCACTGCAGCACGCTTTTCCCCTGTATTCCAATCTCCGGTGCAGAGATGGCTGTGCACCCACACCCACTCTGTTCCCCTCCACCCCTCTTTCCCATCCAGCCCCAACGCCAGTAGTTTTGGTGTCCCCGGATGGATCTGTGAGTGAGTGCAGTCCTATCTCTACTACCCTGCCCGTACCTTCTCGGCTCATCTCTCCGAATGCTGGTGGATTCTAAACCCAGCCCTGCGCCTCTCTGACTCCCTGGCCGTGCCTGCATGCTTCAGTTACGCCTTCGCCATACTGCCCACTGTGGACCCTCAGTCAGCCTCAAGCCCCGCAACCTCCAGCCTCCAGTGCTGGGAGAGAAA